TGGCACATCGAGAAGAAAGCCCCTCTCTTTTTTCCCAATATCTGCTAGGTTCACCCACAGATGTCCCTCTGTCACTACCATAGCCACCATGGACCTGCCACTAGCATAGGCGGCCTGCTTAGTAGCACGGAGAGCAAAATCAGTGGTGCGGCGCACTCAGCTACCTCATCTTTCAGCAGGTCAGCCTGATATGCTTGGAGCATCACCATCGTGTGCAATGAAGCGACAGCCCGACCTGCTGCTTCTGCGTATGCCCTGGCATTTGAGCAAGATGTCAAGGAGGGAGTCTTAAGAGAAGACGTCTCACCCATAGAGAGATAGCTGGCCAGCGTCTCTCTATAGGGGCATCTTCTCATAACCGCTTTCGCACATCGCCTACATAACTCGTATGCTGGAATCGATGGATGCGTGAGGAAAAATGGCGTCTTTCATTCCTTCTCAATCTCTGTATGGAAAACAGGAAGAAAGGAAGGCTCACCTGAGCTGGAGGGTTATGGCCAGAAAAATAACGCTCATCGAGATACCTCGCAGCACTCAGCTACCTCATCTTTCAGCAGGTCAGCCTGATATGCTTGGAGCATCACCATCGTGTGCAATGAAGCGACAGCCCGACCTGCTGCTTCTGCGTATGCCCTGGCATTTGAGCAAGATGTCAAGGAGGGAGTCTTAAGAGAAGACGTCTCACCCATAGAGAGATAGCTGGCCAGCGTCTCTCTATAGGGGCATCTTCTCATAACCGCTTTCGCACATCGCCTACATAACTCGTATGCTGGAATCGATGGATGCGTGAGGAAAAATGGCGTCTTTCATTCCTTCTCAATCTCTGTATGGAAAACAGGAAGAAAGGAAGGCTCACCTGAGCTGGAGGGTTATGGCCAGAAAAATAACGCTCATCGAGATACCTCGCAACGTCCCTTTCTTCGCCCGCTTCACGGCAAGTAAAGCCTTGCCGTGGCTCGATCCATAACTTTCAAAAGCTCATCATACGCAGGGCAGGAAGATTGGGAAGGCTCAGCCTCAGCTTCTCTGCCCTCCTCAGACATTTCCTGCGTTTGCTGGGCTGAAGCCAGCAGAGCACTGGCCCCTGGATCAGACAATGTTAATGAAATAACATCATCCTCCAGCGGCTCACTCTCGTCCACAGCTGACGAGATCATGTGTGTCATCAGATGTTAAACAACGTCAACACGGATGCACACATCCTCTAGACGCTTTGCTAGTGCTCGCCATAATGATATGAATAGAGATCGTCTTACCACAGAAATACACGCTTCAAACAAAACAGTCAATGAAGACGAAGAAGAGGATGATGTGTTCTCCCGGCGCCTATTTATACTATAGTCGCACCGGTAGTGACGTCAGGGCTGTCGCCGGTCAACGTGTTGTTGGTGTTTTTTCAATGTATGCTTCAGACACGGGTCACGACGAGGCGTTCCCCATAGCGACCCCTAGAGGACGCAGTTCGAAGTTCCCATGAAAGGGAACTGATGTTTGCAGTATCATTATTGGTGCACACGTAAGAGTAGTTGATGAAGTCACCACTTCACATGTGTGATATACAGTGAAACAATATCATTAACAAATCCACGTATTTAAGATTTGCAATGCTTAATTAACAAATCCACGTATTTAAGATTTGCAATGCTTAATGTGTCAGGCCACTGAGGCTTGATTGTTTTTTTGGGGGGGTTAAATACATGTGTTTCTGATTTATTTAGATTCGCTCAGATAAGGAAGACGTCAGAATGAGAAATGTGAAGTACTCGCTGAAGGGCATCGGTGCAGACCAAGAGCCGTTCCATTTATTTGTGGTGAATCCTGAAACTGGATATGTAACTATAACGAGGTTCCTTGACAGAGAGTCCATCGCACAATACAATGTAAGTGAAATGGCCATGATGACAATAATGATGATGATGATGAAGGTGGCTTTAACACCTACACTTGATTATGAGGGGTGGTGATCTTAAATTTATTTCTTCACCTCTGTAGCTTTCAGGCGTTGCTACATTCACAGATGGCGCAATTGCAGAGAATGACATTGGGTTGAGAATAAAAGTGAAGGATCAGAATGATAATCCGCCTGTTTTCGGTCCAATGATACCTGGCGATGTAAACGAGCTCAGTCTAGTAGGTATGTGAACTGCAGTTGTTACAGGTGTTTAAAAAAAGTGACTTGAAGTTTGTACAATAAACATAATGGAGATTAATAATTATCAAATTCTGCATGTGGGTTATTGACTCAAACCAAAACCTTTTTTTATATATATAATCTGTTAATTTAAAATGTATTCATAATTTGAATACTGAATACATACTTTTCTGTATTAAAATTAATTTATCTTTTATGAAGTAGTTTTGCAAGATATGTTATTATTATTTAACAGGAATTTAAGAGGAAATTCATTATTATAAGGGGGAAAAATCAGCTGCACTTCTTATTAATATTTGGTAATATAAATTTAGTTGTAAAATGTCATGTGGTGCAACTCCCCAAAATAAACACTACAATTCAAAAATCTGGGGTCTGTAAGTCTTTTAAATGTTTTTGAAAGAAGTGTCTTATGCTCACCAATGCTGCATTTATTTGATTAAAAAAATATATATATATAAACATAAATATTGTGAAAATATTATTAAAATTTAAAATAACTTTCAATTTTTCAATTTTAATATTTTTCAAATTTAATTTAGTGATGGCAAAGCTGAATTTTCAGCAGCTTACTCCTCTTCAGGGTCACATCATTTTTTTCAGAAATCATTCTAATATGCTGATTTGCTGCTCAAGAAATATTTCTTATTATTACCAATTCTGAAAACAGTTGTACTGCTAAATATTTTTGTGTAAAAAAATTGTAAGGATTCTTTGATGAAGTTAAAGAACAACATTTATTTGAAATATAATTATTTTGTAAAATTGTAAATGTCTTTCTTTACTGTCTCTTTTGGTCAATTTAATGCATTTTTGCAGTCTAAAATTATTCAGTATACACAGTAGTAATGTATAATTAAAAACAACATTTAAATAATGATAAAAATGTTTTACTTGAAAGTTACACCTCTTGATATGTATACAGGATAAAATGGTATGAAGGTTTTTAAAACTTTATGAAGCCAACATGAATACAAAGAGTACATTTCTAAGAACTTGTCACATGTTTTAAACTAGATTTTTCGAAGGATTTGTTCTTTTCATTTATCGCGGGCACTCTTATTTTATACAGATACAGCAGTGATGAAGATTAATTGCTTTGATGCTGATGAGGTAGGAAACCCAAACTCTCAAATCAAGTATGAGATTGTTGAGCAGCAGCCAGCTGGGGCGCAAATGTTCAGAGTTGATGCAGATGGGACAGTCCGTGTTAACAATCCTGAACTGGATAGAGAGGTGAGAGGTCACCACCACTGTATCAAATGTGTACCTGATATCCAACATGCTTACATAACACACATAGACTCCATGTGTTTGCACTGGCTCTACTTCATTGACAGCATTTGTAAGCTTCAGTGTCAGTGCCAGATGTTCTGTTATTGTTTCAGTTTAAATGAGTAATGCAGGAACATATAAAGACACAATAACTGCTTTTGTTGAGCATATTGAACAGCATGTAAATTATTCCACCTGTTTATTTACGTGCCATCTCTCTCTTCAGGCTATTGATCAGTATGTCCTGCTTATCAAAGCATCTGACCTGAACGGAGCCCCAGGCGGCAATACCGCCACAGGAACAGTCACCATCAAGATCAATGATGTCAACGATAATGTGCCTACATTGCAAGGCCCAGTAAGAAAATATCTACACTATGTTTACATCCACACAGTTTTAATGTTGTTGTAGTGGTCCCTGCTATTTTTGCAACTTATTTTTTCTTTCCCCATAGTTTGAGGCTAGTATTGAGGAAAATACAGATAAAATAGAGGTGATGAGACTTAAAGCAAGTGACCTGGATCTTAAGGACACGGATAACTGGGTGACTAAGTGCTTTATTGCATCAGGCAATGAGGCTGGATACTTCAGCATTCACACGGACCCAAAGACCAATGAGGCAGTCATTATGCTTGACAAGGTGTGCAATGATATGTGTTGGTTATTTTTCTTTCATAATTTCTAGGATAGTTGTCAGTAGGTTTTTTTGTGATACCAAAATGTAAGTATTCATTACACATACTATACATATTAGTATAAAACTAATTCAGTTTAGTAAACAAGTAATTATTTTAAGTAATTATTCAAGTAAGCAGTCAATAATAAAGGAATAATGTAAATGCAGTTTCTCTTTTTCTTTTTAGTATTGTTGTTGTTTGATTCATATTATTGACATAATAGACAGTAACATTGTGAAATATTATTACACTTTAAAATAACTTATTTTTATGATGGCACAGCTGAATTTTCAGCAGCTATTTGAAATAGAAATCTTGTAAAGTTATACATGTCTTTACTCTCTCACTTTTTATTCATTTAATGCAGGGGTGTCCAAACTCGGTCCTGTAGGGCCGGTGTCCTGAAGAGTTTAGCTCCAACCCCAATTAAACACACCTGAACCAGCTAATCAAGCTCTTACTAGGCATACTAGAAACTTAAAGGCAGGTGTGTTGAGGCAATTTGTAGCTAAACTCTGCAGGACACCGGCCCTCCAGGACTGAGTTTGGGCAGCCCTGATTTAATGCATCCTTGCCAAGTAAAAGTATTAACTTTAAAAATACTTTCCCCAAACTTTTAAATAGTAGTGTACTTTGATTATTCATCAAAACTTATTCTTTTAACATTCACATGATACATAATTTACTGTGTTTACATTAATACATTGCAAAGATTTTGATGACCCGTGCAGAAAAGTACAGTTTTACCATCGAAAACAGTTAGTCAGACAGCACTTGGGTAATAAATTGAATCAGTACTTGGTTATATTGATACAGAAGAAAGGCTAGTATTGTTACCTTTATTATAGTATCAACTTTCTTTAAAAGTACTTGTACTTTTGTCATTGTTACTTATAGCATGTAACTGAAGCAGATTATACTCTCAGCCATTTGCTTGAAAAAATTATCTCGTGTCTGTTTTCCCTGCAGGCTGTTGATTATGAGGATGTCAAAGACCTGAACCTTGGCATTGGTGTAATGAACAATGCTCCATTCCACCCCTCTGTGACTGGAGGACAAGAAGGAATAAACATAAACTTCGGTGGCAGCGGTGATGGCGCAGGAGGAGGAGGAGGAGGAGGCGACGGCGGCGGCGGCGGAGGCGGAGGCGGAGGCGGTGGGGGTGGCGGCGGTGGTGGTGGCGGTGGTGGCAGCGGTGGTGCAGGCGGTTCATGGTCGATGTCAGGGAGTCAGATATACAATGTGAACGTAAAGGTGAAAAACCAGCCAGAAGGACCCAAGTTCATGCCCCTAACAAAAGCCATTGCCATCTCAGAAGGCAAGACTTTTAACAGCAATGAGGTCATCGCAAGGTACCCGGCCACTGACACAGACACGGGAAAGGAAGCTACCAACGTGAAGTATGTTTACATAGAAATAGTTCTGTCAACAATTAAGCATATAAAAGAAAAAGAAATGAGCTTGAACCAACTATGTTCCCTTTTCTTATAGGTATGTTAAAGGATTTGACCCAGATAACTGGCTGAGCATTGATGAGACAACTGGGGCCATTAGAATGAACAAGGCTCCTGACCGCGAGTCCAAGTATCTAGTTAACGGCACTTACAACGCCCTGATTTACAGCATAACTCAAGGCAAGTTCCAGGCAGGATTATTAACTAAAACTAAAACCTTAAATGGCTAGTTGATAATTCTGTCATCATTTACTCAAGTTGTTCCAAACCTGTACGAGTTTCTTCTGTTGAACACAAAAGTACCAAATGTTGGTAACCAAACAGTTGCTGGTAGCCAATTGACTTCTATATTATTTTCTTTCCATATTATGGAAGTCAGTGACTGCCAGCAACTGTTTGGTTACCAACAGTATAAATATAACTGAAACTTATTTTATTTCAACTCATTGTCAAGGCAACATTTCTCATTTTCATTTAGTTTCATTTGAAGTACTAAAATAACTAAAACTAAAAACTATGTAGACATTAATTAAGAATTTTTAAAAAAGTGATAAAAATGACAAACACAACAAAATTACTAAAACTATAACTAAAATAGTATATAAATGATACTAAAATAACACTGGTTCCAGGTAAAAGGGAAAACATTTCTTTTTTTGTTGGTTTATTTATCCAACTGTTCTATTTTTTTTCTGAACTGTTGCCATATGTTGCCAGGTTATTGTTCACTGCCATAATATATGATAATATTCTGCATTAACTTATAGACCAATCATAATTCCAGTGTGCTGCATTTTACAATAAAATGGACATTGCAGGTATATAACCTGTCCTGAAGATGGCGCCTTCTTCACATTGATCAATAATAGTTACTGAAAACCGGGTCAATGTTTGGATACTTAACCATCTGCAAGTTATGTTGTAAAAATTATTTGATTTCATTCACTTATACCATTTATTTACAATGCATTCTCTTTTTCTATATTTTTCTTTTAGTATTTTTTTAAACTAAGGGAAAGTAGCCCGAAAGCATTCTTTTATTTTACTTTTTGACACTTCAGTTTTTATTATATATAACAGTATTATAACATTTGTCTCACATTTATGTTTGTGTATTGTATGCAAATCAAAATAATATATTATTTTTTTAAATATGTTTTTCCTTTTTTCTTATAGACTTGCCTTCAAAGACGGCAACAGGCACCATTGCCATCCAGGTAGAGGATTTTAATGATCACTGCCCAACTTTGGCAAGCAAAGTCAAGACACTTTGTACTGAAAAGGATGCCGTCTTAGTCACTGCAGTGGATGAGGATGCGCCACCCAATGGAGCTCCATTCACCTTCAATGTTGTCCCAGAAGGAACTAAAGGGAAATGGACAGTCGAGCATTTCAACGGTATGGGTGTCCGTTGGGAACACAATGGCCCACATGGCCAACCATAAAAGCTTTATGACCCACAACTATACTTCACTGACGTAACATTTAAAAATTGCATTGAAGTTAAATTATATTTCCATGAATATGTATAGTAAAATACTGCTGCAGTACCTCTGTGTGTCACTGGGGGGAAGGGGAAGGAGGGGGGGTTAAACATGTTTAGCCCACATGTTAGAAACTACCTGTTGTAAGAAGTCAAAAATATAAAGTACTAGTCAGAGATCTGTTAATCAGGATGTCACTACTGTCTCTGTGGTTGAGATCGTCTGTTTTTCTTCTTATCAGATACCACTGCCATCTTCAGAACCCATCAAAAGCTGTGGCCAGGAGAATACGAGCTGACGGTGGACGTCAAGGACCAGCAGGGATTGTCATGTCCAGAACCTCAGAAAATTCAGGTGGATGTGTGCACCTGTACCGACCAGGGAGCTTGTGCCCGAACAGGAGGACATGGAGGAACAGGAGCATTTAAGAAGGGATCCAGGTTTGGACCTGCTGGAATCGGCCTTCTCTTCCTTGGACTCCTTTCACTATTGCGTAAGTTCACACCAGTATCTTAACAAAGTCTACCATGTAAATCTGTCTTTCTGACATTCCCTAGATATTTAGTTAATTGCCCAATTTCTATTTATGCCACATTTAAAGCTGAAGCATGCCGTTTCTGCAGGACTAATGAAATGACAAAAATAAAGCATATTTTCAGGAGCGGGTGTAAAGATTGACAGTTAAGAGCTAACATGTGTGGCAAAATCTTGAGTTTAGCTTGCCTGTCGAGAAGAAACTCCACAAGTTTGGCGTCTTTATTGAAACCCAAACATTCCACCAATTCATTCCTCCATCTCATTGCCACTGCCAATGTTTACCCTTGTCTGTCTCTTCGAATTCTGTAACCAAATATGAAGTTCTTTTTCCATGTGATGTGTCAGCTTTAGTCCCACACTGGCTAAAATTCAGTAGCCACACCCCAGTCTGTCACTATAGGTTGAGCTGGAAACAGATTGATGGATCTGAGCAAACTGCTCTACATTTTTTGCCTGGGAGGCTCAATCTTTACACTTCTAGGGAAGATAAACCCATGAATGGCACGCTAATATTACAATAAATTAGGTTAAGAGAATGTATTTTGAACTTCACCTTGAACTTTGATTTGATTCACCTTAAGATTTGGAACAACATGATGACCGAATTTTCATTTTTGGGGTGGACTTAGCCTATTAAGCAGAATACCAGACAGAGCATGATTGTTAGTTGTTATTATTATGTGAAAAATAAATGCTATATTTCTCCTCTGTTACAGTCATCCCACTCCTGTTGCTGCTGTGTCAGTGTGGAGCTGCTGGGCTGGCGGGAGCTTTCACAGACATGCCCTTTGACACTAAAGAGCATCTCATCTCTTACCATACCGAGGGCCAGGGTGAGGACAGGGTAAGATCTTGAACTTCTGATTGATTTGCAATGCATGTTATCAGGAACAAAATCTGATTAAGATGTTATTTCTGTTATAAAGCTAAATAAATCAAACCCTTTTTTTCTCTGATAGGATGTTCCACTACACGATGTTGTTGATCGAAGGATCGAAGGAAGGAATTTTATGTCGAGAGACGTTGTAAGTGATATGTACTTCACAGGAGGAGCTGGAGGAGTAGGTGGAGCAAGAGGAGCAGGCTTCCTGGACTCCTCTTCCACAATGGGTGGCCGTGGCTACAATGAAATGGAAATGTCCTACATGGACTCGATGAGGAGAAGTGAGACTCTTAGGAGTAGAGAAATGGCTGGAGATTTTGACGGAATGGCCGTGTCTGATATGTTCCTGGGTGAATACTATTCACAGGTTAGTATACTGTACCTACAGGAAAGTGTGTATATAAAGTCAGTTCAACACGTTTATTTAATGTGATTAATTATACAATTATCTATCTATCTATCTATCTATCTATTGTTATATCATTCATTCTATATATATCGTTCATTCTATCTATCGTTATATCATTGGTTCTCTCTATCTTTATATCATTTATCATTCTGTTGTTCTACAGTGCCGTTGAAAGTTTGTGAACCCTTTAGAATTTTCTATATTTCTGCATAAATATGACACAAAACATAATCGAAATTTCACACAGTCCTGAAAGTAGACAAAGTCCTGAAAGTAGACAAAGAGAACCCAAACAAACAAGTGAGACAAAAATATGTTCTTTGTCATTTATTTATTCAGGAAAATGATACAATATTACATATCTGTGAGTGGCAAAAATATGTGAATCTCTAGGATTGGCAGTTAATTTGAAGGTGAAATTAGAGTCCATTCAGAGTTGTTTTCAATCAGTGAAATTACTATCAGGTGTCAGTGCGTGCCCCGTTTTATTTAAAGAACAGGGATCTATCAGTCTGATCATGTTTGTGGAAGTGTATCATGGCATGAACAAAGGAGATCTCTGAGGACCTCAGAAGAAAGAGTTGCTGTTGCTCATCAGGCTAGAAAAGGTTACAAAAACATCTCTAAAGAGTTTGGACTCCACAAATCCACAGTCAGACAGATTGTGTACAAATGGAGGAAATTCAAGACCACTGTTACCCTCCCCAGTGATTGACCAACAAAGATCACTCCAAAAGCAAGACGTGTAATAGTCTGCAAGGTTGCAAAGGAACCCAGGGTAACTTCTAAGCAACTAAAGGCCTTTCTCACATTGGCTAATGTTAATGTTCATGAGTCCACCATCAGGAGAACACTGAACAGCCACGGTGTGCATGGTGCATCCAAAAAGAACATTGCTGCCAGTCTGCAGTTTGCTAAAGATCATGCGGACAAGCCAGAGGGCTACTGGAGAAATGTTTTGTGGATGGATGAGACCAAAATAGAACTTTTTGGTTTAAATGAGAAGCGTTATATTTGAAGAAAAGAACACACTGCATTCCAGCATAAGAACCTTATCCCATCTGTGAAACACAGTGGTGCTGGTATCATGGTTTGGGCCTGTTTTGCTGCATCTGGACCAGGACAGCTTGCCATCATTGATGGAACAATGAATTCTGAATTATACCAGCAAATTCTGAAGGAAAATGTCAGGACATCTGTCCGAGAACTGAATCTCAAGAGAAAGTGTGTCATGCAGCAAGACAATGACCCCAAGAACAAAAGTTGTTCTACCAAAGAATGGTTAAAGAAAAACAAAGCGAATGTTTCGTAATGGTCAAGTCAAAGTCCGGACCTTAATCCAATTGAAATTTTGTGGAAGGAGCTGAAGCAAGTAGTTCATAGGAGGAAACCCACCAACATCACAGAGTTGAAGTGGTTCTGTACTGAGGAATGGGCTAAAACTCCTTCAAGATGTTGTGCAGGACTGACCAGCAGTTACAAGAAACATTACCTGCAGTTATTGCTGCAAAAGGGGGTCAGACCAGATACTGAAAGCAAAGATTCACATACTTTTGCCACTCACAGATATGTAACACTGGATCATTTTTCTCAATAAATAAATGACAAAGAAAATATTTTTGTCTCATTTGTTTGTTTGGGTTCTCTTTGTCTACTTTCAGGAATTGTGTGAAATTTTGATTATGTTTTGAGTCATATTTATGCAGAAATATAGAAAATTCTAAAGGGTTCACAAACTTTCAAGCAGCACTGTATCTATATAATATTCTATCTGGTTATCGTTCTATCATTCATTCTATCTATCGTTATATCATTAGGTCTATCTGTCGTTATATCATTTATCATTCTGTCTGTTCTATCTTTATAATGTTCTGTCTTGTTATCGTTCAATCATTTTATCATTCTGTTGTTTTTTTGTTGTATTTATTGTTCTATCTGCCAGTTGTTCTAACATTTATCATTCTATCTATCTATCTATCTATAGTTCTATCTAATGCTCTGTCATTTTGTCATTCTATAATTTTTTGTTCTATCTGTTGTTCTAGTGATCTATCATTTTATTGTTCTATTGTTTTATCATTCTGTTGTTCTATCTATCTATCTATCTATCTATCTATCTATTGTTTTATTTTTCAATCTATCTATTGTTCTATCATTTCATCACATCATTCTATCTATCATTTCATTGTTCAATCTATCACTCTATCATTATCGTACTATTATTATATTGATGTATTGTATGTGGTTCACATGCCTGTGTGTGTGTATATATATATATATATATATATTTATTTATGTGTGTTACAGAAAAGTCATGCAGTGGAGGATGGATTTGCTAAGAATGAAGCTATGGTGTATGACTATGAAGGGAAGGGCTCTCCTGTGGGCTCTGTGGGCTGCTGCAGCATCCTCGAAGATAACAATGACCTAGAGTTTCTCAATGACCTCGGGCCCAAGTTCACTACTCTCGCTGAAATATGTGGCGGTAAAAAGACTGAGGTCCCAGCTCCTCTTCCTCCCAAACCCATCGTGGACCGTACCGAGGTGTCTTCATCAACCAATGTTATAAATTCTGGAAATATTGCCACTAACAGAGCTATATCTTCAAACGCATTGAATATAGCTTCCAACACAGCTACGACATCATCTACTCATGTGGAGAACTTCCTTGTCACAGACAACCGGCCCACAATGATTACGAGCGTACAACCAGCTCCAACAGTCCTGATGCAACCGCAGCCAATGTACTACATGGTCGAGCCACAGCCCAGCACGGTACTGCTCACTGAAAGGCCCGCCATGGGACAGAACATGTACGTGCTGAACAGCGGCCCTGTAGCCGAGGGAGTTGTAGTCCAAGGCGGCAACATAGCAACGAATACCCTGACCCGCGGTGAGAGAATGGTGCTTGTGGACAGAGGTGCTCCGGCTCATGTTGGGATGATGCACACAGGTAATCTGTCTGGATCACAAGTGCTCCTGGTGGATGGGGGAGCCACGAGCGGTCATGTCCTTCAGGGGGGTCAAGTCCTTCAGGGGATGCTTCAGAGAGGGGTTGCTGGATCTCAGGGCATAATGGTTGTGGAAGGACAAGGGGGTCAATTGATTCAGGGGTCCCTCAAAAAAGGTGTTTCCACTCATGGTGGATCTCAAAATGTCCTTTATGTGGAGAGCAAAGGGGGATCAGGTGTGGGCCAGGGGGGTCTTCAAAAGGGCATGGCAGCCACCGCAGGGTCATTTGGTAGCGTCGGATTGGGTGGGACATCTGTCCAGATAAACCAAAATCCATCATCACATAAAGTCATTGTCCAAGAGAGAAAGGTTGTGACAACACAAAATATCAAGTAACAACGAAACACTCATACAGTACTTGTACAGTCGTAAAAGTGTTAGAGGGTTTAGAAAACCATACTGTCAATCAAGTCTTCAGAGCTCATGCATGCAAATAATTAGTTTCATGTTGTCAACATGTTATGCTACTGAGAATATGCAAATTAATGCTTGAAAAACTGGTTTTTAATGCCCTTGAGCGTACTTCTCCATTTGTGTTGTGCACTATACATGACTTTATTTTCCTTCTTTTTTCCTTGCCTATAGATTATATGTTACTGTACGTATGCATTCAGTGTGTGCTCTGTAAAGACTGTTGTTTGCAGAAAATATGCACAAGTTCTGGTATCCCTGAGGCCATTCCTGTGCAGTTCATGCAAATCAGCTCAAAGCTATTTTCGTAAAGTGCAAATATATGAGAACAGCCAGAAATCTTTGAAGTCTTTAAAATCTGTGCTAATCTTTCAAAAAGGTTTTTTTGGGGTTTTTTTACGGTAAAGTACAGTGCTTTAAAAGACAATTTATTAATAACTTACAAATCAAGTGAACTACAATGTATATATTTGGGTAGCCATTTATAAAAATGTTTAGTGCGCTTCATTTACCAGTACTGGTATGGTGTGCAATTTTACAGTATTTTCCAGTCCTCTTCTTAGTTACTGTTTGTAAACAAGTAGGAAGTCTGATTAGTAAGTCTGTTTAGAAGCGTGTGGTTTTTCTTTGCAGTGCAGTTAAATAAAAAGACCAAGCAGTAATGATTATATGTATGAAATGAATGTTGTGTAAAAATTTCAGAATTGTTTATTAAAAAAATGGTTCAAAACATTTGTATTTAAGAATACAGTAGATAACGAACATTCTCTTTGTTTAGTAATTGGAATTTAATGCTAAATACTAAAAGAAAGAAAAAAACAGTTGTGGTGCTGGGATTTTTCTATTCACAGCTCTGTTTTGGTTAAAAAAATGTTATTTGTTTAGATGTTTGTTGAAGGGGTGGGCAGTGGTTTCCAACTTTCCCAGAAATTGACTCATTAGCTGCATGGTGGGAAAGAGTTTTACTGTTTTTTTTGACAGAAAAACTTTTTCTGGGGTCAATTAAATATATTGTAAAGCAGCTTAAGTCTGTTTAGAACTTATTTTGTAATGCTGATTTTATAAATGTTTCATATGTTTCACTATGGAACAGAATTCCAAAAGACAATAAAAAGTCATTTCAATGCCATCCGGTGTAAAACTTTATCTGTCTGTGGGCATGTGTCAACAAAAACTGGAATCTGTAAAATGGTAACTCAAGGGAGGCCAGTCATTCCTCTAGCAATTTTTTTCAACTGCATGTTCTGTTTCAGACAAAGAAATTGGCCAGAACAACCCATGGCACTCTGGAATAATTGATTCTGTAATGAACTGAACATAAAAGGCAAGTCATTAAAAATAATATAGACAAACTAAAATGTGGGACACTGCTTATGAATTGCAGGATGCTTAAACAATGCTACCAATTTGTGTGACTGTCACCGTACCTGCCCCCAAACATTAGTATTCCACTTGAATATCCTATTTTTCCAAAAAATACCTACTGCATTTTTTAAATTTGGGTGCCACTTCTAGTTCTGGGAACTGCCACTCAAAATAATTGAAACAAATTATATCAAATCATAAGGATAATCCTTATCAGTTAACAGATAATACCATCAGTTTGAGGGAATGAGCTGTACATTTTCCATCATGCTCTATATTTTTTTGTGGGAAAATAGTGTAACGCTTGATATTTTAATGTGATGATATCCTGGGTTGAAGTCATTTCCAATGGGGGAAAACATTAAAAAGGTAATTTGGATTTTTTTTTTTCACAATTATGACTCAGAAATAATACAAATAAATATAGCTGCAGGGCAAGCAGCAATTAACAGGGTTCAAGCATTTTAAGGACTTTATGGGTTGTGTGCTGTTAGGGTCTGGGCCAACATGAAATGTATGGCTGACACCAGAACGCATCCACGATGGAGAATACGATCACACGCACAGAGTAATGAAAGGGCTAAACTACATTACTTAATACACACTGTATTACATAATACACACTAAGCATGCTCAGACACACATTATGTAGTAGATATTAGGGATGTTCCGATCCGCCTTTTTCGCCTCCGATTCCGATACCTAGGGTTCAGTATTGGCCGATACCGATCCGATACCAGTGAAGTTTTTTTCCCTCATTTAAATAAATGTAGAATTTATATATCTCTGTGTGTGGAACTGATAATCATTCTTTCACAATCTACTAGATACAGACTACTTCATTATAAAGAGAAATAAAATAAACAAATATGAAAAAATATAGGCCTATGTATATTTATAATCTATGACAAAAATGTATCATAAACTAGGTTAGTGGATAATTCGGCATAAAAAGTTATTCTCGAAAAATCCGCGCACACTCATTTGCGAAATCCACACGTTTAGTGAAAAAACTATTTTGTGGGGAACAAATAAAAGTGTTGCACTAAATATGGTAAAATGTTACACATTGCTATTTGTATTATTATAAAATCCATTCATTAAAAACATTCATGAATGTATTTATATAGAAGTATATACTATAAAATTAAAATACATTTCTTTTAAATGTATAGCATATTTTTTAATAAGGCAACAACATATGATACGATAGGACAAAACAAATACAGTGCAGCACGAACGAAGTTATGCCAAAAATGGTACAGCTTTTTAAATATCTGAAAGTACACTCTTAATATCAGTCAGTCAAGCAGTCAAAGTAACACAGAATAATTCGCACAATTGAAAAAAAGAAAAAAAAATCTCAGATTTCGATCGGCTCTCTCTGACCGATACCCGATCCGAGAAAAAGGGCACTATCGGAGCCGATACCCGATATGAATATCGGATCGGCGCATCCCTAGTAGATTTAAATATTTGAAATAATTTATAGGTAACAAAATGCTTACTCCAAGTGTCCTGTTTATCATGCCATTTTTCAGGTTTAAATTGAATCCTAATGTGGCATAATTGTCAAAACATATGTTTGTATAAATGCAGTGGTAAACTTTGGCTAAATGTGATATTAAATGTAATAATAATAATTGTATAATGTCTAAATGTCAATACAAAAGTAAAACCTGAGAAACGAACTATAGAAGTGAGTAGAATGACCCAATGAGTGATCCTTTGCTCCCATCTAGTGGTTATAATTGCAGTTTCAGGGAATGTAGCATAGACATTGTGTTTTTAACGTTTATAACTATTATAGTGTCAATTTTTGTCCAATCTCCCTAAAATATGCATGCTTTTTTAGAATCATGTAATGCAAGAGTTTAAAAAGTTTCATGACATTTTGAGTTTTCTTTTAGGATATAGGCTTTTGAGTAGACTAGATCAATACCATATTATTAAATTGGCCCTGCAATAACTGTCCAAATGCGAAAGTTCAAAAGAGTCCAGAGAATTGTACTGCAGTGCTTTTATTGCGGTAGAGCGAGAAACCTAGGATTAGTGTACAAAAGTGGGTTTTAAACATAATTGAGAATATTTAATGAACGGTTTGACTAATAGCAGTGGTTCTTGAGGCAAAGTTGCACAGTATGAGGAGATCTATCAAATGATATGCATATTGTGTGGATGCGTGAAAGCATGCCTCTGAAAGCCGCTGTTAACCTTGTCTAATAGGCGCTCAAACTTCATTGGCCGATGGCGGTCATGTTTTTGGATATATGCAAATGTCCTTATGGACACCTGTGGCTCTTTGGCACGATTTGTGGCTGTCTCAGACGAAAGATGAACAATCGTGGCTCCTAAACACTTACAGTGAGACAGGTTCAAAGACAGCCGGTTTCACAGTCTTGCGACCAAAGAGAGCCTACGATCATTTTCTGACAGTGTCAGAAATTCAGAATGATCATTTTGCTGTTACGATCCACGTTTACGGACCAGCCAATAAAAATCCGACATTAAATCAACGTGACACGGCGCTAAAACATAAAACTGCTTACCTCTAGCTCGTATCCCTTCCTCTTTCGCCGCTTCCACTTTTTTTTCAGCACACATAAAAACTACAACTCTCAAAGTGTGATTCATCATGCTCTTTTTGTTTACCATTAGCGCATGCTGATGACGTTTTATTCTTCTAAAGTAACGTGTGTCTTATGCCGAGTTCACACTGCACGATTTTAGGCCGATTTTTCACTCGCCGACAGGTTTTGCGAAATCGCCGACAAATGCCCAAAATCGGAGGCAAATCGGTGCTCGTTCACGTGAGTGAAAATCACGCAGTGTGAATTATCAAAGACACGATCTGAGGGAATCGCAATTCACAATCACACTGTGTGAAATGAGTTCTGACTGAAAAACACATCGGCGATGACCTACAGCCAATGAGAGACCAAGATACAGGGCAGCGGGAAGTTCAGGGAGGAGTTATATGAAACGTAGTTTGCGGACCAGTGTTGCCAAATCCTCGATTGCAGGGTTTTGTAGCGAAAACCTGGCAACCCTGCACCAGACAGAGCTATCGGCGATTCTTCCTATTGTGAAGTCATGCAGTGTGTAACCTCCTGTCGCCGATCCATCGTGCAGTGTGAACTCAGCAACAACTGAATGCTACCCCAGATAGTCACGCAGTGTGAAAACAACGGCGATCCGACGAGTTTGAAAATCGTGCAGTGTGAACTCAGCATTAGCCTACGGTGTCATCATTGTACAGTCCGCATACATGTTGTACCGAAGTTTATCAGATCCATGTCGCACAATTAGATTTGCAATGATCTTACATGATTAGCCTACTAAAATTGTGCAGTGTGTCCCGGGATTAATAGCTTAGGAGTTATGAGCTATTTCGTACTTTTGATTGCTGTCAGGCCGATTGGGGTGAGCCTTGGTGACGTTGTAGATGATGTGAGTTCTACCATCCCTCCAAGTTTCAAGTCTCTACGATTTACGGTTTGGTCTGCCCGATTAAATGTTGGATTGGCCATTCTAATAATTACATGCTTGAACCCCTAATTAACTTTTTGAATTGGGGAATTGTGAATCACAAACTTGTAATTGCAAGAAAAAGTTAAATTGTGAGATAAAAAGTCACTATTAACTTTTTTAATTTTATTTCATGATGGAAATTAATATATATCGTCTCGGGTTACTTATGTAACCATGGTTCCCTGAGT